TCCTTAGCAGGTATATATCCCAACTTTCCTCTGGCCCTGACACCAGACTTAGACATTTTAACAGATAGCTTAGTCATCTTAGTCTTATGTCATGGCCATAGGAAACTCGGCTAGTTAATATATAGGCAGTTCTATTAATGTTTAGGAATTTTACACGTTGTTTTATATAATACAAAGTTAAAATAAAATAAAAGTACCTTGGATTGGGGCATGTATTCCAAATTTGATAACATAGAGAACCTTTAAGGACCATTTATTCAAGAGAAAGGATATGTTTCATGATGAGGCACGATATGAAAATAGGTAAAACTTGATTTCTTCTGGTCACGGGACAGGAGAGAGTGATTCTGAGGTTTGTTTCACCATTCCAGCACAATGCATGTACGGTGAAAAATAGATATCATTTTCAAGTGAAACATTTTATTCTATATGTGATAATTCAAGTTGTATATGCAATATATCCATTACTTTCCATTATTACAGTTATATTCTTCATTTACGCATTCCCAGTACATACAATCTCTTAAAAACATTAAAAAAAACAGTACTTACAGTCAAATACCATATAAACTATCCAATATGAGCACATTTTCAGGTATTAAAACCCATAATTATTAAATTTTACTACCGCTCATGTTTTTTTCCAAAAATTCCCGAAGAACTATTTTTCAAAGCGGTGTGACCTTATTGCTGAAATTAAGAATAGAATACCCGATACATTCATTAAAGATATTTGATTAAAACAATCACATTATTAAAAATTCTGTTTAAACTGCCAAATTTTAGCTGTTATGTTTTTTATTTGGGTCAAGCCTTCCTACCAAGTTCGCTATCCTCTGGCAGCTACATGCACAGTATCTGATGCACAGTATCTGACCTTCAGTCAGTAAGCAAATACCCATACGAGCTGCATGCACAGTATCTGATGCACAGTCAGTAAACAAAGACCCATACGAGCTGCATGCACAGTATCTGACCCTCAGTCAGTGAACAAAGATCCATACGAGCTGCATGCATAGTATCTGACCCTCAGTCAATAAACAAAGATCCATACGAGCTGCACGCACAGTATCTGACCCTCAGTCAGTAAACAAAGCCCCATACGAGCTGCATGCACATTATCTGATCCTCAGTCAGTAAACAAAGATCCATACGAGCTGCATGCACCGTATCTGACCTTCAGTCAGTAAACAAAGATCCATACGAGCTGCATGCATAGTATCTGACCCTCAGTCAATAAACAAAGATCCATACGAGCTGTATGCACAGTATCTGACCCTCAGTCAGTAAACAAAGACCCATACGAGCTGCATGCACAGTATCTGACCTTCAGTCAGTAAACAAAGATCCATCCGAGCTGCATGCACAGTATCTGACCCTCAGTCAGTAAACAAAGACCCATACGAGCTGCATGCACATTATCTGATCCTCAGTCCGTAAACAAAGATCCATACGAGCTGCATGCACAGTATCTGACCTTCAGTTCGTAAACAAAGATCCATACGAGCTGCATGCACACTATCTGACCTTCAGTCAGTAAACAAAGACCCATACGAGCTGCATGCACAGTATCTGACCCTCAGTTCGTAAACAAAGACCCATACGAGCTGCATGCACACTATCTGACCTTCAGTCAGTAAACAAAGACCCATACGAGCTGCATGCACATTATCTGATCCTCAGTCAATAAACAAAGATCCATCCGAGCTGCATGCATAGTATCTGACCCTCGGTCAATAAACAAAGATCCATACGAGCTGCATGCACAGTAGCTGACCCTCAGTCAGTAAACAAAGATCCATACGAGCTGCATGCACATTATCTGATCCTCAGTCAATAAACAAAGATCCATACGAGCTGCATGCATAGTATCTGACCCTCAGTCAATAAACAAAGATCCATACAAGCTGCATGCACAGTATCTGACCCTCAGTCAGTAAACAAAGACCCATACGAGCTGCATGCACAGTATCTGACCTTCAGTCAGTGAACAAAGATCCATACGATCTGCATGCACAGTATCTGACCTTCAGTCAGTAAACAAAGATCCATACGAGCTGCATGCACAGTATCTGACCTTCAGTCAGTGAACAAAGATCCATACGATCTGCATGCACAGTATCTGACCCTCAGTCAGTAAACAAAGATCCATACGAGCTGCATGATATACACTGACCAACAGTTCATTACTTTGATTTTCATCATAGCAACCAACTCATAATGTAAGTATTTTTTTTGACAATAATTCAGCAAAGTTAATTGATATTTTGTTTAGTTGGTTGCAAAAAGAAACAACATACAAATGTAGGTCTCTGTTGACCCAAATTTTCGAACTTGAACATGCCTATGTTAAAGAAAGTCGATGTTTTAAAGTTTTGATAAGATAACGTACATTAGTTTGTGAATATGTATGTTTGTTGTCCTAATATTTTATATTCCAGTTTGTATAAACATGCATTATTATATGTCATACTATGATTGAAGGGCGTTGTTGGCAGCGAAAAATAGTGTCTGAATATGATCACGTGACATGTCATATGACAAGACAAATTGGCCCCCTTCATTATATGTCTAGAATATATTAATTATTGTTGAGCTGATATTGCTACACTGTTTTGCATTAATCCTCATGTAGAAGGAACACTTAATGCTTATTTAATAAGACAGAAGTGTTTATGGTCATACTTATAGGGCAGTGACTACAACCATCAGTTAAAGGAGTGTTCAAAATAGGTCTGGTGTAAACATCCTGGGCAGGGGGTAGCCTGACCACTGCCTGGAATGTTTACACAACATCACCCCCTCTTGTTCTTAGTGTTGGTGGGTTGATATTTCCCTTGGCTGGTGTGGTGTGGACCTAGGCTTGTGTGGTTGTGGCACCCGGTTAGATTTGTTAATTCATTTTAATTCCTTATATTCCTAAAGATTCACTAAAATATATTGAGTCTTATTAGGATTACTTTGTCTAACAATGTGTCGTTGATTTTAATCCGTAATCCGCGCTCCGCATCCGCAATCGCTGTCGCCTAGTCTCGTGTGTTACTTTCGTTTTGAATGGAATGTATGAGAGTGTGACGTAATTGTGAATGTTGTATACCTGCTTGACCAGTGACAAACTGACCTCTGACACCTGTCGCATTGCGTGATATTTCCCGCTTCAATGTTTTCTTTGCTTCTCTGTCCTTTCTTTTCCATTCACTTCCTATCTGCTCCTGGTAGAGGCAACATCGCCATATATACATACTTACGAAATATACATACCTGGCAGATTATACTAGTGGATCCCCGGTACCACATACAGGGTAAGCTATTGGTCAAATACAATATATAAGCTATTGCTAAACTTAATATTTATGCTGATAAATATTAATGCTCCATAATTTATATTTATTGGGAATGCTATAACGTGCCGTAAATTGCTCATATATAATTATGGGTGTGGTTATTGACTAAGTGAACACGTTCCTTATTGAACACTGATTTTATACTTCGGTGTAGTCTACTGGTATTATAAGTATTATGTGAACCATATTCATATATAGTTTTCTAGGCTACTTTAAATAATTGTTTTATAAACCTTACGTCTTTTAAAGTATCGTACGTTACAACGTGAATTGTCCATATGTAAATGTATTGTTAGGCGAGTTCGTTTCTGTATATTGTCTCATGTGTGTTTTAATATTGTTACAGGGAAATAAATACCAACTAAATCAAAGATATATGGTATTCGTCATCTATTGCAAAAGAACCCAAACACCACATGGTTATACATGGGATTTTCCATGATTGTATTGATTGATATATATTACAGGTAAATAGTATATAATATAAGGAATAATTAATGTTTTTTGTCACGAAAACTTTTTTTTGTTAAGTCAAACACTTCATATACATGTCTTGAAATGTTAAAAGGGTAATTGTTTATATGTATGGGTCAAAATTCAAGTTTAAGTGTTAACTTTCATTATTGTTGCAAAAAAAAACCACTTTAAAAATGAATGACAAAAATAACATGTAATCATATTTATCAATTGATGAAATTATTTTCAAGCTTCTCAAAATAAACTTTGTTTTTTTACAGAAGCCGTTCGACAAAACAGACTCAACATCCTAAAATGATTAGTTTGACATCAACAGACGAGCGAAAGGATATAGAAAATCTAATGCAAAAGTTAACTGGGAAAGACACTGATGAACACAAATGAATGAATCTACGTTGTAAAAATGGCAAAAATATATTCAAATAATTTATTCTGATGTTGTTTATTATCTATTCTTCATTTTGAAAATATCTTTATCAACATGGGCCTACATTTAGAAACAATCACAGAAAATTCTGCATTCCGAACTTGCTAGTATTAACAAGTATTACATTTAGAAACTTAATTAGACAACAGCAAACTGTATAAATGAACGTTGGGCACACGTTATAAGCAAATGTAAGGCCAACATTGGCCCATCGTTAAACATTACAGTACAAACATTGCGCCTACATTGATCAAACATTAGCATGATATAACGGAACAGTGCCGATGTCCTATATTTTAAGTGAACGGATATTTCCTACAAGTACTCGTAATGTATCCCAGGCAAGACAATAGCGATAGTCGATAAACATATATTGTATTAAAATGCATATTGTTTGATCACTCTTTTGTTAAAGTGTATCCAGCCAAACCTCATTTCACATATGTCAAACAGACATTACACTGTACGTATAAAAATAATTCTACACAGAGCCGTCAATGAAGATGACCGGTTTCACAAACAATGCTCAATATTTTGCTAGTCTCAGCTCGTTGTGTAGGCTGTTCCACATCCTGGCCACGTTAAAGTGAATGAGATTAGGGGAAATTTTGTTATCATTACGAAAAGATTTTTCGCTTTTTTTCAAAACTCTGTAATACAGTAAAAAATGAGAAGATATGTACAATACGTATTGATTGTAACGTCATTAGTTTGTGTGAGAAAATTACGTCGTTTTCTCATAACATTATGACGTTACTCTCACAAACAAATGACGTAACAATCAATACCTGCTCACAAGAGCAGATAACTCTGCAATACGAAAAGACGGCATTGAACCACTGTGGTGAAATAAACTATGTGTTTGAAAGTATCCTTTAAATCACATTTCACAGATCGAGAACAGTTCTGATGTACAGGAGCCTCGGCGAAGTGCATTTGTATTATAGACTAGACACTCTTCAATGGCATTGGTCACCGTTGTGTCCCAATCCACCAGTTCGTCATTGAGAGGCTGAGGTGGGTCTCCCCCGTCCCACCATTTCGTCACCCCGTCCACCTCATACAAACCTCCACTCACCCTCATGGATCCATATTCTGTTGTAAATATAATAAAGGATCCTATTCAATTTTACACTTAAATGGTATCGTTAATGAACTTGACAATGAGATCCTCAGACTCGTATGAAAACAAAGCATATAGGTAATAAGAGTCGCATAACTTCTTCCCATAAGGTTGACTACACAAAGATGAGACTCAACATGGAACCCTTACTTTACATTCCAATTATTTATGTTCTTGGCTCAACATCATAGACTTCAACTTCAATGTTAATAGTGAGATACATTTTGTCATTAATATTAATACATCGTGCACTTAATTTTGTTGTTTTTATATTTTATTCAACACATAGTTTAAGTGTATTTTCACCCAGTGTTGCACCAAAATAAATATAAACGAAAAAAACTCATATATTATTTTAAAATGCCTCGCAATAGTTAAGAAAGTAGACTTCTCAGACGACAGATCATATTAATAATAAAAACAAGTCGAGATTCTTATATACCGCTTCATCATTACCAGGTTTGTAGGTCGTCTCAAAGCGGTTCACAAAGTATTACCCATGGATAATAGATCGATATAATATGTAGTTGTAAAATGTTAAACTAAGGTTAATCTGGTTAAGAGCAGTCAGACTGATCAACGTAAGTCGTGAAAAAACTAATCAAACTTACCAAGTATGAGACTTGACGACGTTACTCGCTGTAAAAGGTTGAGTTTGTCCACAGAATTGACCACTAGAAGTCTCATCTCGAGACCAGCACAAGCTGTCATGGCGTCCTCCTTGCTGAACCTCCGTGTGATGACTTTGTAAATCAGTTCGGTTGTCGGGTCAGTTGTCATGTACAGGCCTACGTTAGCTGGAACATTCAGATTCGTGTTTTCTGAAGTGTGTTTAACTATATATACTCGTTTAAAAACAAGATTTTGTGAGGTATAAAATATGTAGGAATACTTGTTATTGTATTTTGCTTACACACGCATGATTTTTCAAACTAAGACATATTGTGTAATGCTGTTTTAGATACTAACAATTCACTTTGATGTTGTAATTTGGTTTGCGGAAAGGAGTAATACCGGTATACGACGTCGATGACGTTGAGATAATTTGTTTTTATTGAATTTTAAAATATATGTTTTTGAAACCGTTGAAGACACTTACTCATATCAAAGAAGTAGAGATATTGTTTATCCAATATCGACTGCACGCCAGCCCCCGACTTCAGCTGACTGTATTTGTTGACACTGTATGTTTTGCAATCTTTGTACCCGTCGCTGTAGGAGAATGAGCGACACGTGACGTCACGGTGACACCGAAGACTACACTCCCCAAGATGTTTGGCATGTCCTTGCGTCATCACTTCAGCGTCACTGATGGATCCTCCCGGTAAATTAAGGTAAGCAAACCGGCGACTTCTGGTATTGGTGGCATTGAGAACTGATAGGATATAAGAAATAAATGCTTCTTCACCAAATCAAACCAACTTGTATGTTACAGTTTTATTTCAAAAAAGTAAAAGTTCAATAATTAAAAATTCAACAAATGTTAATTTTTACTTCAAAAAAGAGTTCAGAAGCTTGATTTGCATCGTCAGGAAATAAAAAAAAAATGAACGTAACGCACAAACTGAAAGACACACGCCTTATTTCAAATAAAAAGATTAGTAAAGTGCCAAATTTTGAAACGTGTCACCACTGAAAAGAGATAACCGTGTCAATGAAGGATACAGACGACCTAGGGGACGAAGACTACACCTGTACACCTATAGAGTCTACCAACTTGTACATGTATGCATGAATTAAACCGTAAAACCATGACCAACAGTGGTACCTAAAGGTGGCTCCACACATCGTCATCAGCGTCCATTTTCGTGACGTACTTCCGGAAAAAGTACAGCTCGGACTCAATTATCTTGATCGAAATGTGCATGTACACCGTGTCGTCATTTCCGTATTGCGTATCGGGCATTCAATATTGTAGTGCAAATTATAGCAACACCTAGGCCGTTTTCGTTTAAACGGTCAGACCGATCGGACCACTGTTGTTCGTTTATTAACCGGACCTAGTAATCTGATGCTGCTTTAAGACGAGCCTTGAGAAAGCTTTGCAGGTCCTCCAGGATTTATACCCGAAATTGTTACATTTATAAACGGTCAAACCGGTTGTTCCGCATAAACGAACAGGACCCTGGTAAACAATAGTACACGTGCGTGCCGATGATATGTCAACACCCGATATCGAGATTTTACCGGGAAATGTATAATCACACGTACTTCAGGAATAAAGCTTTCCAATTCATAGACATAAACAGACTCACGGGAAGACAGTGACATGAGACCAGACGACCTCAAGAAGGTCATATAGGAAGCACATGAAATGCGGATGTACCGACCTCACATGTGCATATCACGTGCTTACACGAGTTCATAAGCTCGAGGTCGTTACGATTTTCACTGTTGAGANGGTATACCATGCGATAGCCTCTGGTCTGACATGTAATTATAAATATACCGTGAGTTAGCGGACTGTGGAATGATGTCCAAAGTGTACATGACTGAGGGTAATTTGGTTCCATTAAAGAACAATAAATTGATAATTTTGATATCATATTTTTGATTTATTTCCATCATTTTTGTTATATGTAAACAGAGACAACTGTCATTGTGTAAATGTCATCCCTCTGCAAAAAGTTCCGATTTTTTTCAAGGAAGATAACTCTCATCCGGATCAAAGTGATTGTAAAAAGTAAAATAAATTAATTTTAAAGCCATTGTGTATATTTTGTTCAATTTCCCATTCTATATGTATAGATCTTTGTGTCCTGTTTGCTTTTAGCTTGAAGATAATCACTTTTATCCGTACAAATTCAATAAAAAACACTTTGTGTAACATGTGTTACATATTTTGCGAGAAATAAAATATTTGTAGGGTTAATTAGAAATGCTTTATTCATTTTATTATTGTTGTTATTGTTCCGAACAATGCCACACACACACAAAAAACGGAAAATATTAAAATTGACGAACATTTAATTTTTTGGTATTTTTTTCCAAAAAGTCCCCAAACTGTCGGCATGTTTATATGAAAGTGTTAAAAAAAAAATGCTGGTTAATTGCGAAAGTGTGGAGCCACCTTAAATCGACCCTTAATTGTAAAAGAAATAAATACGTATCTCTGAATTATACTATACAAATCTTTATGGCCTACAAATATGCTTATGTTTGTACATAAATATCAAAATATCCATCAATTACACCGTAAATCGTGCATGCTCCTTACTCATATCGTAAAATATTTATGACCTTGATTTAGTTATACGGTCAAACTAATTAAATCTTTAAACTATGCCATGAAGAACCAAACAACCCGTAAGATAATGTTTTAGAATTAACGAACGTCGATATACACAGTGTAAGCAATTGATGTGATGCATCATTTTTGTCAGAATGTAAGAGAACAAGGCAAAATCTTCAAACAGTTTTAAAAAGTAATAATAAAGTTAAACCGATGTTGACAAAAAATAACAAGAGCATACCAAAGTGATATCATAACTTAAATCCGAACACAAAATCGACAAAACCCAGGCAAAATTCAAACAAATGAAAATATTACATTGAGACCCTTCAAAAAAGTACAAAGAAAATAGGACCAGTATTCTTGAAGAATAGGCGTCTTCTGGTTCATCGACGACAGCCGCCATGTAAATATTGGTTAAATCCATGTGATGGTACGTTTCCACATCCAGAACTCGGATAGTGACAACAAAACTACAATTAACATAATTTAAAACTTAATCAGCCTGCATGTTCGGAAACCTTGTGTTGTAAGTTTGTCTGTCAACAGTCGACATGTATCACTGACGTCATGATATTTGGAGCAGGCTCTGGAATACTGAATCAACTACGAAATGTCAACACCGACAAATATCACCTTGTAATGTTTTTTACACTAAGTAATTTAGTGCCGATCTAGCTATTTGAATTGTTCTTATGACTATTACGTACCGTGAGTACAACCGATCACGTCAAACCGTAGACACGGTGGTGTAGGTGCTGAGCCAGTCCAGGTGAGTGCCCTGATACGAATGTACCGGGCCACGACGGGTGGACTTATGCTACCGTGTTCCTCTGTGTTCTCATCCGCCGAATCTGCTGGACCGTAGAACGTCTGCAACAAAAGGTAAACCTTCACCGTGACACACCCTGTATTCCTGTTATATGAGGAATAAAAGCGAAATATTTGTGGCACATACCAGCGACCTAGTTGAACCGTCGTTAAAACAATCAGATTCAATTTTAAATTTGTCGCGAAGTTCAGCTAAAAAAAATAATTTTTGATTCAAACAAGACAGTAGGCCTTAATAGTCACTCCACAGTGATCGTTACTAAATGTATTGCGTTGCTGTGTTCTGTTACGTCAGATTATTCACTTACACATGTATTTTACCTGTGATACGTGCTGCTCATGGTGAAACTGGTCTTTTGCTGCTAGGCTGTTGAGAAATGCTTGATCAGTCGTAGGGCAAATTCCAAATTACAATGCATAATTGAACAATTTAATTTGAATTTTTGCTAAACTTAAGGAAGACCGGATGCTTTTGCTGCATTAATGATGATGTCAAATCAACCATCATTTTTGTTGGTGTCGGCTTCTTAGTTCTGCCTCTTTGGTGCGGAACATTGCTATGGATTTGCGGTTCGTACTCAGCGGGCAATTTGCCCTATTTTTGGAGCACACTTTAGAGTTATTATCATGTACGATTGGTCGTGTATATCTCCTGTATTCTGTTGTGGCGGTGGTAGCACTGGCTTTTCAGTTGACCCGCCATTTGGCGGAGTTACTTACTTGGGCAACATATTGTTAACCGTTCTAAATCTAATGACAATGTAATAAATTTAAATTTCATTATTAACAAGCTATTATCGAAGGGAATATCCTGTTCCAAGCTTCCTTTTCAATGTTTAGGTGTCGTGTGGTTGAAGTCGTTGGCCATCATACGCCATACAAAACAAAATATATCCTAACAAGTAGGGAATAAAACCAGATACTGAACCTAATGCTATTTGAGTTTGTCTTCTTTTTGATAACTATTACGTTGGCCCGAGCTACCTATATCAGGCTAAAGGCTACCGAAGAAATGTTTTTTCGTGTTGCCGTTTTTCATGCTGTCGACAAAACTACCGGCGTCATCTATTTTGATGTTAACAAATCTGACCTCTTCCAACCCTTGGTCATTTTCTTTGTCGATAAGTTCATCTAATTCAAGTATTCGTTGAGCTAACGACTCGAGTACTGCCTCTCCATGAGACTCCATTGAAGACGAGAGGTGCAGACGACAACAACAACAAACCTCTAAAATTTGAAGCGGTCACCGGACCTGACTGTGATGAAGACCTGGATGCAGGCTGATCTATCCGGAAGTGGGCTGATATCACCGGATGCGAGCTGATATCGATAGGTTATTACATTGGCGGACAATATCGACAATTTGAATGATACAGTATCACATATGTAATTTGGTCGGTATTTCAAGCAAGTATATGATAAGATGTACAACCTGTGTGATATGGTGTTATATTACCTGTGTGACGCCCTCTGACTGCACATACTCCCAGTCCACTCCGTTCTGACTGTACAAAACTTGATAGGTTCGGAGGTTATTATTTAACACGTTTGGATGTAATCGTTGTTGTACTACGACACCAACGATCTTTTTGAGATCAGCGAATTCCACCTATAAAAAGTATAAAAGGTGGATTCAGAAAATTGTAAACGGTGTTTGGTATCATTACAATCAGGAACGAATAATATCATGACGTCAAACTTTCACGAAATTCCCGAATGCTTTTCAATTGACACCCTTTGTCTGACGGAAACTTTGATCATAAGAAACATGACATTGTTCTGCTGTTCCACCATTTGGAAAAAAACAGATTATGATTCATCACGAACAAAAATACGCCATCATTTTTCTTCGAACATATATCGAATACATATAGAAATAACTTGTGTTGTAACATTTTAATGATTTCATACCACGTTGTAACACTTCACCATGGAACAGGATTTTAAGCAACTGTGCTGCATACTTATACATGTTAACAATATATATTGTGAGACACATACAATAATTAGGCTAATCAAAACAGCTATGGCATGGAGTTCAATAAAGGAAACCGAAATTGACCCATTTTTTGTAACATCAATCGAGTTCAATGACCTCACACTGATTAACTAAACATACGAAATAAAAAAAAAATTACGTTGAATTTATTTAAATGGAAAAAAAAAAGAACAAAAAAAAAGAACAGTTCAAAAGAAAATAACTCTCAAGAAATTATTGTAACACTATTCTAAGATTAATGTGCTACACATTTGTAATTATCAAACATGATCAGTTAATTAGTTAATCTGGAGATCATGATCGAATACATATTATATATATGGAATAGATAATAAAAAGTCAATGAATACATCGCCTGAATAATATATCAATGACGTACTTTACAAACCAGCTCTTGTGAGACTTTATTTGAATGAAGAAATATTGGGACGGATATCTCTAAAAAGAACAGCGTCGCCACATACAAAATAACACTTTAAGCTGACATTGCAAATTAAAAAGATTTCAATTGAGATTTAAAAAAAAAAAAAATCTGATTTTTGAGACCTTCCCCAGTGACAATCTCTACTGGCTGTCTAATGGACTTGCTTGGTTACAACGAATATGGGTTTCGCCGGGTATAAAATGCGCATTACGCGTCAAACCGGTTATCATTTATTCAACGTGTGCTCAAGGTGACACTACCATACTTCAAACATAGAACATTTTTATGGTGTTAAACCAACATTTTTTTATCAGATCATGTGAATAAAATGAAAATGGAAAACTTGCAAGGTATGATTTATCTAAGAAAAGTGAAAATAATAGTAAAATACGACCAATTTGATATCTGATGTAGAATTATGCGCCCCCACCCCTCCAAAAAACGGACCCGAAATAAATTAAAACACTAACGCTGATGCCTACCTTTTAGATATTCGTATAGTAATAACATCAAGTGTGGACATAATATTAATTCTAATTCCGGTTCAATTACCAAATTTCACATTGTTGTGAAACGCCTGGGAGTAACGCATTCTGCACGTGTTTTGCTAGTAAATCGTCTACACGTCAAAGACAGATTTCATAATAAAGTTTTCGTGAGTGAGCGCGGCTCTATGAACGTGAAGAACCGATGATATATATGGGAATCTATTGAAATATAATCAGTAAATATTTAAATTTTGGATACACAATTTCCGAGAATGTGCCAAAAGTAACAACCAGCTTGGCAGTGTTTCAAAGTCTTGAGGTTAGTGGTTTGCTTTTTGGAATCGGTTGTCGATCAGGGTAATGTGCTTTTTATACCCAGCGAGACTCATACTCGTTACCAAGCAAGGACAAACTATAATGTTGGCGAGTCCATAGAAAAGATAGCCGGAAGAGATAGTCACTGGTGAACATCTCAATTCCAGGAAAAAACTAAACTTTTCAACTTGCACTGTCAGTTTTAAAGAAAACAAATCAAATATCTTCATTGCTTCATTAAGATCTAATTACAATGTGGAACTGCACGAAAAAGCAGCCCAAAATAGATATTTATCAGTAAGTGGTAGATCAAGCACGGACACAGAGGCAGGCAAATTCCAGGAACATCTCAAAATACTTTTTCATTGCGGAGATCCTTTATAGGAGACAACCTATTGCTACTGTTCCACTATAGTGTATTACATAATGTAATTAGTTTCCCATCCCGCCTTTCATTACGGAAATGGATTGACTTCCATTTACAGATATTGCAGTATTTGGTTTCGTTTCAGAAATGGTGAAATTATACATAATGTATGTCGGAAACGTTTCTTATGCATGTCTACTGCTGTTAACAGAGACAATGGAATCATTATGGTTAATGTTCACTCAGTCACTCCCCTAAAATAGCATGGATATAAATCTTTTTTTGTCCCGTATATTGTTTTGTAATAATTACGAAAGAAAAATACCCATAACCCTCGATTAAAAACGAAAAACAAAAATAGAATGAAGTTGAATATTTGTATTCGTCATCTCTATTTTGCAGCGAGGGGTGCAACTTATCGGCTTTTGTGCGATTGCCTGATAAGTTAGCGTCACTTCCTTCCGTCGCCTGTCAACACGAAGGCAAAGAAACGAAAACAAGAACACAACCCCATCCCACCACAAAAACATTACATGTACATCCTCCCAACCCCGATGGTGCAGAACAAGTGCCTTTGGCTATCATGAATGTACACCGTGTAAGCGTAGGACATTCCGTTCGCAAAATTGACCAATTATGGTGTCATTGGACGTTTGGCAGCCGCCTTCTACCGACTCAGGGGTTCGATCCTTAGCGGGAGCATGGTAAATAATTAACATGATTTCATATAATTGACATTTTATTTGCAGTGAGCCGACACAGCAGTAATATACTGGAACCGTAGTCAATAGTCACATCATTTTGTACCAGGCTTCGTCGAAATGTCGTGCTTAAATCACTCCGGCAAAACGCAAATAGACTAAGGTAAATCCCCGTAGACAATGCCGACAACAAGCATGCATTCATGCGTAATAAAAAGTTATTTAAAGTATCCATACACCAATTAAATAATTACTGGTGGGAGGCTATGGATTGCTTTGCAATGTTTTGCCTTAACTAGCCTTTAACTTACAGTTCTGGTTTAAATAGGAGCTTGGGTATTAGGTAGCCTTTGGCTTACAGTTCTAGTTATTGTTTTATTTTGCCTATTGCCCATTCACTAAACAAAATATGAAGGAATATTACATTATTTTGTATCGTTAACTCTCAACAAATAAAGCAAGGAAAGATAGCCTTGTCGACTCCTTGTCCGACTCCCCATACATATACAAAAAAAACAATTTTAGCACATTTGATTGTTTTGACCATGAACGAAGGTCAAGGTTATCAACGTTTACAAAAATTAAAACTATTCACATGAACAACCAACTTGCCAACTATCAAGACCCAAGAGCCTTTGGTCATAAAGAAACACAAGTTAAAGGAAAAGTGGAAAGAAAGATATGTTTTTTCTTTTTTTGAATCAAAGGTGTTATATGACCGGTTGTCAATTATTTTGGAATTCCTGACGTGAAAATATATTATTGAAAGCCAACTTTAAAGCATCTATGAAAAATACTCTTTTTAGAACTATATAAATGAACGTGTCGAAAATGGATTTTTTCTCATTAGTAATGAAATTTCACATACTTTTCTGCTTATATCTTCAATAAAATGAACAATTCTTTCTTAAAGTAGTGTAATATTCGGTATAAAAAACAGTTGGAATATGTTGCACACGATGATGATACAATTTTATAGTAATTGTGTCATTGTAGTGTGATGAAGTCAGACTGGAGTTTCACCGGAAGAGGGTCACCCCAATAATGGGGAGAGGATATGCATGATCTGAGCAGTAGCCTTCCCTTTATTGACACTGGGGCAACAATGCCTAGTGGGTCGAACAAACTATTGATTGTCGATAAAATTCTTCGTTTAGTGTAAGGTTTGATGAAACACGAAATGTGAAATTTCCTGTGTTAATGTCCCAGATTAATCCTAAACTGGACTGTACAAGTAGGTCGTCTTTACACAAGTCCAGGTTCTTGATGTCTTTTGAAAGATCCTCCTTGTCAAATGCCTGAAGCACATCCTTGTCGTTTGAGGCTATCTTGTGAAGCCTGAGATTCCCTTCCTGTTTGAGAGTTTGTTGAGTCCTACGCACGATGTCGATGGCTGTGGCCGAATCTGAGACCGATAACAATCCATCGTCAACGTAAAACAAGCCTTGTCATCCGATATTCAATCAACGGCTTGTCCATGTTGTTGTCCTGGTACCAGAAGAACCGTAGAAAATCCCTATGATCCGTCTCAACCACGAAACAATAAAACATTTGTTCGATGTCTGCTGTTATCGCCACACGGTCTTTCCGGAAACGCAGTAGGACTCCTAATAGACTGTTAGTTAAGTCTGGACCATTGAAAAGAACAAAGTTCAGGGATGCTCCCTCAAACTTCGCCGATGAGTCGAATACCCCTCTAATTTTGGGTTTACGGGGATGATACACGCCAAACAGAGGCAAGTACCATCTTTCCTAATGTTCGGGAATGTCTGGTGCAACTTCTGCATGACCTTTTTCCAGTATTTTCTTCATAACGTCAAACATGTCCTGTTTTTTCTTACTGGATCTTTTCATACTGTTTTCCAGTGACTTGGCTCGTTTTAACGCCATCTCATGGTTGTTGGGGGGGCCTCGTTCTAGGCATCCGGAAGGGCAATGGAGCCACCCAGTTACCCTCATTGTCCTTATGCAATTTGGAGTCCATTATTTTCAAGAATTCCTTGGCCTGAACAGACAGACCTCGTTTGTTGTCCTCGGGAGTCTTTTGGAAAATTATGTCATCCTCCTTTACCCTAACGTCCATCTTATTTTTGTAGGGATTAAGAGAAGTCAGTCTGCCGTTGGAAAGAGTGCGTATCTTATTGACGTTCACAGAGTCTGTTTGGTGTATGGAACCAAGACATGTCTCCCGTATGACTACCCATCCGAGTCGTAATCTTTGGGCAAAAGAAAGACCGGACTTACCAGTTCTTTGATCAAGGATATGATGTACCTCTGGGAGGTCGCGTCCATTGAGAAGCGATATAAATGGTCCT